CCTCCTCCTCTTCTGCTGCCACCCCCGCGGCCTCTTCTCCCCCCTCGTCGTCGTCGTCCTCCTCAGACGAGGAGGACGACGACGACGAGGGGTCGGCGGTGGGGTCGGTGGAGCCCTGTGCGGCGCCGCGGTGTCGCCTGCCGCAGCAGGACACGGTGCAGTGGATCCAGTGTGACGTCTGCGATGCCTGGTTCCACATAGACTGTCTGCACGTAGACCGGAAGAAGATCCTGACGGACCCCAACGCTGACTTCCACTGTGGCTGTCGCTAAGAGGAGGAGCCGCCGGGTCAGCGTGGGGGGGTCGGGGCGAGGGGGCGGAGCTCAGTGAACTGATGTGACTGCAGTTTGTCTGGGAGGAAACTACACCAGAGAAATCTCTGTAGCTCAAATGTCCAGCAGAGGGCGCTCCAAGCCCAGCATCTTTAACCCACTTTGACTTTGTTCAGATTATCGTCCTGTTCTTTTCTTCCAGTTCAGTCTGACTTTTTGTTTGTTTGTTTTTTGGGGTGTGTGGGGGAGGGGCTGGTTCTGAAAACAGTTCCGTCTGTGGATCAGTTTTCAGAAGGTGCAGGAGTGACGTCAGTGATGATGATGATGATGGAGTAGACGCTCGGTAATATGGAGCTCCAGTTAGTTCCAGTACTTTATTGGAGTTCCTGATAACTCTGCACTGGACACACACACACACACACACACACACACACACACACTCAGACTCAGGTTCTGTCGGTACCAGCAGTTCCTGTGAGTACTTTCTAACTCACCATCAGGCCTTGGAATATGATCAGTTTGAGCTAACGTTCCTGTCTCAGTTCCTGGTACCGATTGTACAGAAGAATCACCGTTGAAAATGTTGGAGTTGAAACAGTTTACCTCCTGAATCTCACGTGAATAAACAAAAAAAAATCTGATTTAAAAAAAAAAAAAAACAGTAAAAAAAAATATATAAAGAAAATTGTGATGTTTTAAAAGTACTGATGTGATGAGTGTGAAACGTCATCTTCATCACGAGCTGTTCTAACGCCCCCTGCGGGACAGTGAGCAGAATAACTGGGAGGTTAAAAAGCATTGGGAATGACGTTGACTTCTGACTGAAAACCAGGAGCTGAACCTGTACATAACTGAGTTAAGGTCGCCCTCTGGTGTTTGGACGTTGTATCACAAATACAAATAGAATTTAACACTTTATTTTTTTATTGTTAATCAGAATCAGAAACATGACGGCTCTGCGGTTCACCAGTAACAACCATGACATGACGTCATGTTATTAAATCACTGTTGTTCAAACCTGACTCTCAGCTCTGTGTCATCTTCACTCAGTTCACACCAGCGTTCACACCACGGAGGGTGGAGCTGAGGATTGTTGTTATTTTTGTCTTTGTTTTCCCGTGGTGAAGCTAAAGGATTGTTCTCCGTGTCTGTTGTCGTCTGTCTGTCGTTGTCTGTCGTTGTCCAGGTGTGGATAAACTCAGAGGTTTGTCCTCCGTCTTGAACTCTTCTGTCCGGAGCAGAGACCAAGCTGCTGTGACCTGCACTGATGAAGACGGGCCGTGACGTTACGTTAGGCTGGACTGTTACCATGGCAACAGCCACATCTTTACGTTCTGTCTTCTCTGCGTCTGTCGTTGGCAGCAGCCGTGGTGGAGGTTCTGGTCACTGCTGGTCTGAAGACTGATGGGGTCAAAACCCTGGTCCTGCCCTCAGCACCTCAGGGTCTCCTCCATGGGTCCAGATCCTGATTGAAGATCCTGACCAGGTCCTGACCTCCGTCCAATCCAGGACTGAGAAGCTCCAGAGGTTGGACTTGTTGAACGATGCCTTCAGGGTCTGCCAAAAGAATGTACCATGATGGTGAACTCAACACTTACACACACACACACACACGTGTGATGCATTGTGGGTTGCCTGTTGCTAGGCTACAGACGGTGCTGCGTTCATGGTCTGTTCCACAGTAGAAATGTTCTCTCATTCTCCAACTGCAGTGTTTTCTTCGTTTGTCACGGACCACAGATCGGGCCACTCAGAGGGTCTATCTGGGCCACGCGTGGCCCTCAGACCACCATTTGAATTCACCTTGGAGTAAAATAATTTAAATCGTACTCACAGGAGATCCTGGTGTTCTTGTGCTGCAGTGTTTGGTCAAAATTCAAAAGAAAGATTTTAGACACAAAAAGCATTTCACCTGAAGGGGGCAGCAGTGGGTCAAACATCTAAATTCATTTATTTTTCTCTCTGGTATTTGAACCATCACTCTTATTTCCTGTTAAAATAGTCGGCTCACCTGAGAGACTGTGGTACTTCCCGCCACCAGGGGGCGTTCTTTGCGGTTTATTGGAGCAGCTGCTAATTCAACATTTCTAAATCACCCTCATATGTCACTTCTAACTCTGCCCTGCAGCAGATATAAATAACCGGGGGAGGACGGGGGACAGATGTCCTGGTTTTTAGTCTAAATGTGAGTTTGTCCAAAAACTCGTCGTTTTTTTTTTCTCTCCGTGATGCGACTCAGCCAGAGTTTTTATTTAGAACTTCTCTCCCTCATTCTTTCAGTCCCACTTTCCTTTTCAACCACACACTGTCAGATCACAGGCTGATTTATGAACCAGGCCGCTCTGAAAATAACCCCCCCCCCAGTCCAACCCCCCCGCACGTGACACAGTGTGTACCTTAAACCACAGCTTTAAACCACCTGACACTGTAAAACACTGGTGGTCGGTTTTTTATTTATTTATTTTTGAGAATCGAGAATCATTTCCTCCAGAGAACCACAGCAGGTGTGGACTGACCTATCATTTCAACATAACCATCAGAACATCATACACTAAGTTAGTCAGTATAATAATAATAATAATAATAACTAATAAGTTCATTATTTGTCCTAGTTTAGGAACATTTAAATCGTGTCTCTCTGAAACCAGCACAGTCTGCCACAGGGGGCGCCATTTTGCACATGCAACTCACACCAGAGGTGCCATAATTATTATTTTTGCTTTTTGCGAACGGTGAGTTAATCGCGATTTAATGAGCGCCGTGAAGATCGATGTCTGTGTGTGTGTGTGTGTGTGTGTTATTCTTATGTTTACTCTGTGTGTCAAACTAATGTTGGTCAGTAGTTTTCTCTGCTCCTCTTTCTGTCTGTTATTATTTACCCAGTATTTTCTGCTCATCTGGGAAAACACATTTTCTAAAGTAAATCCTGTTTCTGTATAAAACAACGATTCAATTAAAATCGAGAGGTTTATTTTCTTCGTCTGATGTAATTAATTCAAATCTAATTCGGTTTAATGAAGACCAGCGTGAACTAATCCGGTTTAATCTCATTTAACTGTAACATCACCAACACCGATCTGTGGCGACGATTAGTCAAATTAAATGGACTGAAAACAGTTCCAGCTGCTGCCGTCGTGACGTCATCGCGGTGGGACAACACAGTGTGTGTTGGATTTGTAATCGTGAAAATAATAAAAAAAAAAACAAATTCCAAAACAAATTTAGTTCAGAATCTCCGCATAAACTCTGCTCTGACACCTGTGGAGCTGCAGTGCCGCGGGTGTCCAGCGGAGGGCAGTGTTGGACCAGCCTTTGCCCTCAGATGAAGACGGAGCAGCCGCTCCCTGAACCTCAGTGACAGAAGGAGCGTGGGGGGCGCGGGAG